TAGTTACAGACTCCCCATGTGTTATTTCCAGTGTTTGCGATATGAAAGTGTGTCTTTTGTTCCTAATGCTGCTGCCTGGGCAGGTGTCACTTGTAAAACAGGTTTTAATGAGTAGGTGAGGTGTCTAAATGAACTTGAATGTTGTGACACAGACTTCTTTTGGTGGAAATGGATCTGTTACAGTGTGATTATGGCTTTTTTTGTTGCTGTCGTGCACATCTGTGGTCCCTCATTTTTCTCTCTTCGTGTTTTTACTTGTCAAGAGCACGATAATTATTTTTCACTGATCATCAAATCTCTGCTTTCCGGTGATGGCAAGCAGGGTGTTTTCCTTGCTCGCAGACTCCCTCCATGTAGTGGGAGAAAAAGTAAATATTGCGAGGGTCATCCTATGGAAAGTGGTCGCCGTAATTACTGTTCTGTTTTAAGTGTAGGGTATGTCTGACTTTTTTTCATCAGGGCTCTTTCCTCTGGCCAGACATCGCTTTCACCAGGAAAGAAAAACAGCATGAGACAGAACTGACAGTTTGAGGGTTCCTGTGGGAGTTGGTGGAGTTCAGAGTTTGCTGGCGCTTTAATTCGCTGTAAATCATACAAGATAATGCAAAACAAATAATTCAAACACTCTGTGAGACTACATTTTACCATTACTTCCACAGCACTGCCCATAGAACTTTAAGGGGATTTTATTTTGTCTCGATATCACACTTTCCTTCTTTTTGCACATTGTAGTGTAAATGTTAACGTCTTTTCTGATATAACCAGACGAGGCTCCAGCCCTCACCTGACAGGACTTGTAACCTGTGCTTATCTTGGCTGAGGCCACCCCCCTGCAGTGTACATTCAGTGTAATACTTTCAGACTGAGCTGGTTTCTGATTTGAACTCTGAAGCTTCCTTGCCATCTGCCCTGCAGCCAGTGTCTGTCAGTCCTGTGCCACATGGGTTTGCTGGCCATACGCCAGCTGGTTCTGTTCTCATCTATTTGAGAGTTGAACTTCTGAGATTAGACAGAGCACTCGAGAGACACGGAGGTCCTTCATTTGCTAAAGTATACAAGAAGCACGACATAGTATGGTGTGTCTTTGGCTCTCTTAGAGGTAACATGCACACTGTTTGGCATTTATCCAAAGTGTCACTGTTCTCCTGCTCTACCTGTTCCAACCCGGTGGAATCATTTGCCATCCGTGCATAACCTGCTGTCTACAAGTCTGATATGGTCGTGCTGGTTCTGGCCTGGCATTGTCTCTTAACTGGTTTATCAGCAAACAGTCGTATGTTATCCTCTTATACAAGAGCTGGCTCATTGTCACCTCTCCTCTCCCTGTGTTCTGAACCCCTCACTCCAATCACTGTCACAGGGGGGTCACTGACAGCAGCCAATGAAAGGTCATTTTAGGGCTGGAAGCCTCCATTTCACCAGCACAAAGTGTTGTCATCCTATATTTTTTGGACAAAACAACAGGGAATCCTAAATCTGATCATTGACTGTGATCACAAGAATAGTTTGATGCAGTTTCACACATGGTGCTGCAGTACGTAACACTGGAATCCCCGCCTGGCTAGGACCTTTTCTGCGTGGAGTTTGTTCTCTCTGTGTTTTCTTTGTCTTCCTCCCAGAATCCAAAGGGATGCAGGTTGGTTTCAGGTTAATTGGAGACTCAAAGTGTGAATGTGAGTGACCTGGGTGTAGCAACCGACAAAAGCTAAGCGTTATAGATAAAAGACTGACTTAAAAATACAAGTTAAAGGTGCAATTCATATAATGACTGCACCTTAGTCTACACTGATTAGATTTGGGATCAATAATCAAATTTAACTTTTTTTTATTTATTTGAGAACATAATTCACAAAAGAAAGAAACCTCGGACACAGTTCAATTGGGCCACCAAGGGACATATAACCTAACATTTCCCAAGGGACTTAATTATTATCCTAAATATTTTTTCTTGGTGTACATATATTCATTGAGCACTCATAACCACTGCTATATGTTGGGGTTACTTTGAGTGGTCAGACATTTTGTTCTTTCTGTATATTATTTAACATAGCAGAGGGAAAAGAAAGGTTATCTTGCAAAAACTTTGTCAACATCATTCCTCGTTTGAAACTTGTTCGACGACTTTAACATTTCCCTCCAGGTTTGGAAAAAAAAAAAATCCTATACCTTTTTAGCTTTAAATACCTACAAGGGATAGATTGTCAAATAAACATACAGAATATACAGACACGTGCTCTGTTTGTTTTCTTATTTCTGGTGGAGTGAGAGAGAGGCTTCTTCTGCGAAACTCTGGGAGACTGTGTTTAATGGCTCAGTCCGGAGGAGAGATGCTGCTTGGCAGGAAACACAGACTTGCCTTCAGCCTATAAAGCAGCTATAATGTGAGCCACCAGCCAAAGAGCCAGGCGGAGAAAAAATGTCTCCCTTATCGATTCTGCCTCCGACATAGCAACTGGCCGCTGATTGGCTGGAGCGCGGCACGTTCCTGCGCGCCCATTGGCCGCGCGCGTAGCGTGGAGACGGCGGTGGCGGACGGAGACAGAGGGGAAGAAGGGACGTGATTGGCTGCGGCAGAAACTGAAAACGAAAACCTGTGTGTGTGTGTGTGTGTGTGTGTGTGTGTGTGTGTGTGTGTGTGTGTGTGTGTGTGTGTGTGAGAGACAATTCATAGAGTAAGTGTGTGTGCGTGTGTTTGTGTGTGTGTCTGTGTGTGTGAGAGACAATTCATGGAGTGTGTGTGTGTGTGTGACTGTGTGTGTGTGAGAGACAATTCATAGAGTGTGTGT